CACCCACTGCAGGATCCCCTCACTATAAGACACACCCCACTGCAGGATCCCCTCATATAGGACACACCCCACTGTAGGACCTCCTCACTATAGGACCCATCCCACTGCAGGATCTCCTCACTGTGAGACCCAGGCCACTGCAGGATCCCCCTCACTATAGGATTCACCTCACTTAAGGACCCCCTAACTATATGACTCTCTTAATGCAGGATCCCCTCACTATAGGACCCACCCCACTGCAGGATCCCCCCACTATAGGATCCACCCCACTGCAGGATTCCCTCACTATAGGATCCACCCTACTGCAGGATCCCCCTCACTATAGAATTCACCCCACTGAAGGATCCACTCACTATAGGACCCACCCCACTGCAGGATCCCCCTCACTATAGGATGTACCCCACTGCAGTATCCCCTCACTATAGGATGCACCCCACTGCAGGATCCCCTCACTATAGGACCCACCTCACTTCAGGATCCCTTCACTGTAGGACGCACTCCACTGAAGGATCCCCCTCACTATAGGATCCACCCCACTGCAGTATCCTCTCACTATAAGATGCATCCCACTGCAGGATCCCCTCACTATAGGACCTATCCCACTGCAGGATCCCCTCAATATATGGCCCACACCACTGCAGGATCCCCTCAATATATGGCCCACACCACTGCAGGATCCCCTCACTGTGGGACCTAGGCCACTGCAGGATTCCCCTCACTATAGAATTCACCCCACTGAAGGACCCCCTCACTATATGACCCTCCCATTACAGGGTCCCCTCACTATAGGACCCACACCAATGCAGGATCCCCTTACTGCAGAACCCACCCCACTGTAGGATCCCTTACTACAGGACCCACCCCACTGCAGGATCCCCTCATTATAGGACCCACCTTACTGCAGGATCCCCTCATTATAGGATCCATCCTACTGCAGGATCCCCCTCACTATAGAATTCACCCCACTGAAGGATCCACTCACTATATGACCCTCCCAAAACAGGATCCCCTCACTATAGGACCCACACCACTGCAGTATCCCCTCACTATAGGACGCACCCCACTGCAGGATCCCCTCACTATAGGACCCACACCACTGCAGTATTCCCTCACTATAGGATGCACCCCACTGCAGTATCCCCTCACTATAGGATGCACCCCACTGCAGGATCCCATCACTATAGGACTCACCCCATTGCAGGATCCCTTCACTATAGGATCCATCCCAATGCAGAACCCCTCACTATAGGACCCACTCCACTGCAGGATCCCCTCACTGTGGGACCCAGGCCACTGCAGGATCCCTCTCACTATAGAATTCACCCCACTGAAGGGCCCCCTCACTATATGACCCTTCCAAAGCAGGGTCCCCTCACTATAGGACCCACACCAATGCAGGATCCCCCTCACTATAGGGCCAACCCCACTTCAGGATCCCTTCATTGTAGGACCCACTCCACTGCAGGATCCCCTTCACTATAGAATCCACCCCACACTGCAGTATTCCCTCACTATAGGATGACCCCACTGCAGGATCCCCTCACTATAGGACCCACCCCACTGCAGGATCCCCTCACTATAGGACCCACCAACTGCAGGATCCCCTCACTGTAGGACCCACCCCACTGCAGGATCACCTCACTATAGGACCCATCCCACTGAAGGATCCCTTCACTATAGGACCCACTCCAATGCAGGATCTCCTTTCTGTAGGACCCACCCCACTGCAGGATCCCCTCACTGTGGGACCCAGCCCACTGCAGGATCCCCCTTACTATAGGATCCACCCCACTGCAGTTTCCCTCACTATAGGGCCCACCCCATGGCAGGATCCCCTCACTATAGGACCCATTCCACTGCAGGATCCCCTCACTTTAGGACTCATCACACTGCAGGATCCCCTACTCTAGGATCCACTCCTCTGCAGGATCCCCTCACTGTAGCATCCACCCCAGTGCAGGATCCACCTCACTGCAGATCCCCTCACTATAGGATCCACTCCACTGCAGGATCCCATCACATAGGACCCACCAACTGCAGGATCCCCTCAGTATAGGACCAACCACACTGGAGGATCTCCTCACTGTAGGATCTCCTCACTATAGGACCCACCCCACTGCAGGATCTCCTCACTGTAGGACCCACCCCACTGAAGGACCCCACCTCACTATAGGACCCACCCCACTGCAGGATTCCCTCAAAGTAGGACCCACCCCAGTGCAGGTCCCCCTCACTGTAGGACCCACCCCACTGCAAGATCTTCTTGCTGCAGGACCCCCTCATTATAGGATTCCCCTTGCAGGATCCCATAAACTATAGGATCCCCCACAGCAGGATCTCATCACTATAGGATCCCCCACTGCAGGACTCCCTCACTACAGGTTCCCCCCCTCTGCAGGGCTCCTGGTCATTGCAGTGCTCACAGAATCCACAGTGGCTAGTCTGCCTGGAGGACCAGGAGAGTTCCTTTTTGCTGAGGTCCCCCTGCTTCCTGTCTCTCCACCCTGCAGAATTGGCCAGGTCTCTAGACAGCCCAGCATTCCCACCAATATTCCTTGGTGGAGCCAGAGCAGTCAGGGAGGAGGGAGAAAGTGCCTGTCTCTGTGCATCTCAGGCTTTGCTGGGTCTGCGACAATAGGAGGCCTCCTCTTAGGTCTCCCATTCCCCTCCCTCGCACCTACGTGGCAACACCAGGAGGCCAGTGCCTACCCTTGCCCCACCCCAGCTTCCCATCCAAACAGAAAAGGAAGCCCCTTCCCCCAAACTCAGCTCCTGAGGTCTCACACATGCAGCCCTTGGGGAAGCAGAGCCAGTCCCATTCATTGGCTATCCTCCTGACACACGCAGGTCTCTGTCTGAGTCACAGTTTCTTTCCATTTTTCATCCTGCTCACACGGCCCCACCCAGACCCCATTCTGACCCTCAGAGTCCACTCCAGCTGCCTGGCCACCTGGTATCCTCCCCTCTTTTCTCCTGCTTCCCATCAGAACTGCCAAGGAAAATTGATGCTTCAAAGAATCTGCCAGATGAAGCCCCTGGTTCCGTTTTTACAATGCAGTTGAGGAGGAGTCTAGCTTTGTGACTTAACACTGCACAGTGCTGGAGAACTTAATGCATGTGCAGATGGTCCTGAGAGGCCCAAGGGCCCTGAGATTCGCCACAAGGTAATTTTCAGGAACTCCAAAGTCTTAGAAAGAAAGGAAAGTATGTTTCATTTGTAAGGGTCACTTTTAAAAGGTTCACAGGAATTCAACCACCCTCAGGCCGCGGCAGGGTGCTTAGTGACGTCTGAGGGACTCCCCGAGTTCATCAGACCCGGGGCAGTGGACTGCTTCGCTGGATTCACAAACATATTGTGATCTTCACACTCAACTTACAGTAAGCAGGTTTTGAAGGCGGCGACTTTAATCGACTCTAAGTGAAAACTTAAATCCCAGCCCTGAATACTCTTCTCTGTGAGTAGAAGCCCCGAGGGCAAAACAGAATGCTGAAGGAAGGAAGCCCCCAAACCCCAAATATACACCCAAGAAGCACAGTCCAGCACAGCCTTGGACCCTCACCCCACGGGGCCCACGGACGATGCTGGCTGACACTTGCTTCGTCCACTCGATGGGCTCCTTGGAAATTTGCTAAGACCTGGGAGAAGTCACCACAATCTTTTGTCAGGGTGGGCAGCCCCTCAAGCTAGCCATGGTGAAATGCGTGAGGCTGGATGGTAGGACATGGATGGTGTGACCTGGTGACTCAGGGTCCACACTCCCTGCTGGCCTCACATGCAGCTGGAGGGCAGAGGAGGTAGCACCAGGACCCGTTGCAGCCAGGAGGGCTGAGTTCCTGTGACTCTAGGTAGAGGCTATCTTTGCTGATCCTTCCTTCCTCCTGCCAGGGTTGGGTCCTTCAATAAGCAGAGCCCTCCTCCCTACTCTCCTTCAGGGCTCCTCCTCCTCCCTCCTCCCTCCTCTCCTCCAGGGCTCCTCCTCCTCCCTCTTCCCTACTCTCCTCTAAGGCTCCTCCTCCCTCCTCTCCTCTCCTCTAAGGCTCCTCCTCCTCCCTCCTCCCTCCTCTCCTTGAGGGCTCCTCCTCCTCCCTCCTCTCTTTTAGGGCTTCCCCTCCACCCTCCTCCCTCTTTTCCACAGCTCCTAGTCCTTACAGCTCTCCATTCTCCCTGCTGTTCTCCATCTGGGCACCCATCATTGCAGAAGCAGTTGCTAAGAAGTCAACCTTCCCTATTGGAATGGTCCATGCCAGCAGGCCACATCCCTGTGGGCTTTACTCCCAGGTCTTCTATTCTGTCCCACTGGAGTTTTGGACTTGATGGGCCATGGCTCTTCAGGGTTGGGAATAAGAGGCTATAGGTCTTTTGCCCTTATTTTTCTCTCAAATGCATGCTGGCCATTGGGCTGATAGACCCAACCTGATCTTTTATTAAAATTGGGAGCCATCTTGCTACAAAGCCATGAAAAGCTAATTTCGGCTTTACTATAAATTACTGCAAATTCTGAACCTGCTTGGAATGCCTGCCCGTGCCTTGAACTCACCCATGCCTGGCTCTCTGACCAGATAGCAGCCCTCTCTGAAACTTTAGTGACACCTCATAAATATTGGCCTTCCTTGGCCAGACAACGACCCTCTCTGAGGCTCTAATGGTCTTCATAAATTCTGATGTTGGGGCCAGCAAAAAAAAAAAAAAAATGTAAACTACCATTAGTGTGATGCTTGTCAGAGTTCTGTTATCTGTAACCCCCCTTTTGTGTAACTTTCTGGGCTATAAAGCTGGGCTGTAGGAAAGGTGGGGCTGCTTTGTTCCCGCCATTTTGGGAGGGAAAGGCAGCCCAGCCGGTCGAAATAATAAGCTTGCTTTAATTTGATTTTAATTGGAGTCAGTGGTCTTTTCTTGCGTCCTGGTCTAACAGGGCAGCCTTTACCTTCCACGTGAATTCCAAGATCAGCCTGTCAGTGTCTGTAAGAAGGACTGCTGGGGTTTGGATCAGGGCTGTGTTGGCTCCATGGATGGCTTTGGGAAAATGTGACATTTTAACATCATGAATCCTGCAGCCCATGAACATGGTATATCCATTTAGTCTTTTGAAAGTTCTCCCAGCAATGTTTTCCTGTTTTCATTGTACATATATTCCACAATTTTGGGGCTAGATTTATTCCATGTGGCTCTAGGTTTGAATCCTGTCACAAAGGGCATTTTTAAGAAGTCCAGTTCCTGTGCAACCAACGCCTGGAGAGATAGCTGACTCCACACTGGACCACACTTCTGCCCCATCTTTCATCTGCCTGTCCCTCCTCCTGCTCTCCACGTTGGAAAGTCAGGCTCTTCATGCTGTTGGCCTCTGCTCTTTCCTGTTGGCTAGGAGAGGTGACCTTCATGTGCCCTGTATGTGGCCATGGAAGATTTGCAGGAAGGCAACTTCCACCCCAATCCTCTGTACTCAGTGGGCTCCCTATTGGCCTCCTCGACTCTGCTTACCGTCCACTTTCTACACAGTGGCCCAGGCATCCCTTTTAACTAACCCTCAGATCAGTCCCTGGCTTGTAACCCTCCAGGTCTCCCCGATTAGAATGGAGTCCAAGTCATGCCTGGGCTGCCCACCGAGGAGGATCCAGCCCCGCCCACGTCTTTGCTCTTCTCCTTCCTTTTCCTCATCCTGCCTTGCTGGTCCTATTTCTTGGACACCAGGGGAAGACCACCCATGACCACTCTGCCCTCAACAGGAGCTCCCCTCAACCCCCAGGCCCCACAGCCTCTGGACCTCTGCTCTCGGTCAGCAGAGGGGGGGGTGCTTCTGAGCTGAAGGTCAGCAGGCACGAGGGAGCTGCTGCTGCAGAACAAACAGCCCCACTCGCCACACAAAATGACTACTTGCACCAAGATCCTGGGTTCTGTGGTGATATGTGGGAAAAGGGCACAGTGGGGGCACCTCTTCTTGCTCCACAATGCCTGGCCTGTGGGAGGACAGGGGCTGGAATATGGAAGGTGCTTCCATCCTTTGGCTGGCTGGGGCCTCGGGACTGGAGAGCCCATGTTCTCTACAGTCAGCATGGGCTCCAGGCCTTGTGTCCACTGTACTTGGAAGCTAACCAGACCTGACCTCTGGAGGGAGGACTGTCCGTGCCACAAGACATATGTGGATGACAGCTGACCTGGGAAGTGCCATCTGCTGTGACTTACAGTGGAAAACTCGACGGTCTTCATGGCTGGCGCGTTCCCTGGTAGAGCCAGAAGGAGCAGCCAGCTCCAGGTCAGTGACCCTGGTGTAGGTTAGCAAGCTCCAGCTCACAGTGCACCAGGGCCCTGAGGCCCAGGGAATCAGCTCCCCTCCCGTCTGTCCATGCATCCACTCTGCCTGGCAGGGGGAGCTTACTTTTCTGCCCACCTTTCCTCTTGTGCTGGTGGGTGGTGTTTGCAGGCCCGGCCACTGAATCTGTTCAGCCTCCCTTTGTTATAGACCCTTCTCCACACATTCCACGGTGCTACCCATGTCAGAGGCTCCACTCACAGTGGGGGGACTCAGGGACTGCTCTCTGTGGCACTGGAGGCCTCTCTCTCTGCCTCTCTCTCAGGCTCAGCGAGCTGGGACAGGGCTGTCCCCATGACTCAGGCGCTCCAGTCTCTGGGCTGGAGAGAGGCCAGCAACGTCCATCATCCTGGCTGCCCTGCTCCTGCTGGAGGGACTGTGGTGTGGCCCTGGGTCCTCAGGGAAGGTCTGAGCTCCAGCATCCCCAGGCCCAGGCCAGCCAAGGCCCAGACTCACAGGGCTTCTGCGGGGACATCCTTGGCACTAGCAGCAGCTGGCACACCTTCCCTGGGCAGAGCCTGGAGGCCCTGGGGCATTCCACAGGGACTTGTGGCAGATTATAGCCCCTGCCCCATCCTCCTCGGTGTCTCTCTAGGGTGCTGCTGCTCCCCACTCCCATCTAGGGAACTTCAGGTGGTCTCGAGGTCCAGGAACTCCAGGGCCGGGGGTCTTGTGCACACCTCCTCCGGTCTCCCCATTTCAGAACTGCTCAGGTCCAGCTCAGAGCAGCTGCCTTGGATGCCCCTCCCCTGGCAAATGCCACTGGCCTCCTGCCCAGGAATGCAAGGCTTCAGGATCTTTCCTCTGCCTCCTCCCTGATTCTTCTCTCTGCTGCCCTCGGGGCCCCAGGCCTATACACCCCCCCCCAGGGGTCCCTGCCTGCTTGGTGCCTGCCACTCCCTCTGCAGCTCACCAGCTGCCTCTGAGCCAAGCCTCCCCTGACCCTTGCCCCTCATTTCCTCTGCCTCCCCCCTGGCCGCACAGCCTTCCTCCTTATCCCCTGGAAGTCCAGCAGGGAAAGCAGGTCCCACCCTCTGTTCTCTGTTCCCTGCTGTGAGGCCCAGGACAGGTGCCTGCCCAGCCACAGGGCAAGCTCTAGGTGGGGCTGCACCCACACCCAGCTCCTCAGGGGTTGAGCATCTGGACCCTGGAAGTCGACCTGAGGTACCTCGCTGGACCTCGGCCCAGGCCCCGCCCCCGCCCTGCCCAGGCCCCGCCCCGCCCTCAACCCGCCCTGCCAGCGCAGCCAGCGGCTGGCTCCCCGAGGCTGCAGCACAAGAGGCTTCAGGCACGTTTTCCTTCCGCTCCTGGTCTCCGCCCCCAGAGGCCGGCACAGGGCTGATTGAGGACGGGTTTCCTTGCTGCTGCGCCTGGCTCTGAGCCGGGCCAGCTCTTCACGACCCTCCTCAACTCTCGGCCAAGGCTCTGCGAACAGCCTGTGAACCAGATCCTTGGCATCGTCTTCTGCTACCATGCGCACAGGCCAAACCCTGGCTCTTTCTAGAAGGACTCGCAGTCCGACACCCTGGCCGCCACTGAGTCCCCGCCCCCCGCCAGGCCGCAGGCGATGCCCCGCGGAGCCCCGCGCCCGATGCCCACTCACCCTCATCCCCAGCTCGATGTTCTCCGCACCGTACACCTCCATGCCCGGGTCCAGCAGGCCGATGTCCCCGAAGTACTCGCGGTCCACCACGAAGGAACAGCCGATCATGGCGGGGGTCCTGCAGATGCAGTCAGCCATGAGCAGGCCCCTGGCTGGGCCAGCAGCCCCAGAGCCTGCCTTGGCCGCCTCTCATAGCGGGCTCTTGCGCCCTGAGGAGGGAGGTGGGAGGGTAACTCCTTGCATCCCCCAGAGCCAGCGGCGCACCCAGCACAGAGCAGAGCGTAAATGTCCCTGGTGAAACTTCAACAGGTGAAAAGACCAGAGTCGGGGGATTGAAGAATACTCCACGTCCCCAGTGAGTTGTGCTGTCATCTTGAACAGCCAGAGCAAGTCGCCCCACCTGCTGTGGTGGCTCGTGTTATCTGAGTGTAGGTATTTGGTAGTGCCCAGCGGGAAGTTGTGCGCGCTGGGCACTACTCAACTTCATGGACCCTGGCTGATATCAGACTCTGAGCGACCCGCCTTGGAGTTGTGGAGGGGACACAGCTCTAGGCAACAGATTCACTGACCACTGCTGTTATTTCTGTAATAATTCATCTTACATCCATATGTTTACATCCATATATTTATATCCATATGTTTACATCCATATATTTTAGAAGTGGCAGCGACCTAGCCTGGGGCCACGTCTGTGGATGTGCTGCTAGAAGGGCAGCAGTGACCCCTGCGCCCGGTTCCCGATGCTGGGGTGGCCAAGGCCACTCCTCAGGACACTGAAGCCCAGGCTGCTGGAGCCTCCCCGTGCCTCCGGAGGCACGGAGTCTGTCCCACAGAGCAGTGACCACTGGCCTTGGTCAGAACCTAGGGGAAGTGACTCTTCTCATTGGCTGGGAAGTCTGAGCTGACGTCTGTATGGGCTGCTGTCCGAGGCAGCAGGACATTTCACAGCGCCTGTCCTTTTACTTGGGCACGGCCCAGGAGCAGGGCCCATCCTCCACCAGTGCCCGCAGTCCGAGGATGGTGGCTAATGGCTGTGGTGCAGCATCCCAGCGTCTTCTGGAGGCAGTGATTTTATTCCTGCTCAGAGTTGCAGAGTTAACTGAGCTCACCAGGCAGCAGGGGCCGAAGCAGCCGGCACCAGGTTTATGTGTATGAGAAATTCTCACTGCGATTACAGAATACAGCAGGGCCGACTCTGTGAGGGGTTCTAAGGTTAGGGGTCCCCAGGTAGGGGGTCCCTGGTCTTTACAGGACACCCTCTCCTCTAGGCAGCTCCATGGCATTCAGGGAGACAGCAGGACACAGCAGTGGCCCCAGAGTCCTGGCTGGTTCAGCTGCTTGCCTGACTCCCGGCCCCCCGCCTCCAGCTACTGTCCTCTGACAAGCTTCCAGGCTCAGCCAGACCCCTGCTGTTTCAATGTTGAATGTGGAATCAACCCAGTTGCACATCGATGGGTGATGGATGAACCAGCAGTGCTTTGTCCATACAATGGAGTATAAAAAATGGGCCTTCCCACCAAGAATCAGGCAAAGCCAAGGAGCCACCAGTACAGAAATAGAGTTTGAGTGGCCACCTTGATTTTCTGGATCAAGCCGTGTCTGAGTGCCACTTGAATCCCTCATTTTGAGCAGTTGGTTTGAATCCAGCGTCTGCCTCACCTTTGCTGGCCATGGGGGATGCAGAGCTGGACATTAGTGTTAACTTCTCCCTGGTGCCATGTCTTAGGCCTCACCTGCAGTTCCTGGGCATGGGGCTAGTTTGTCTTCTCTGTCCTCCTGCAGGCCTCCTGAGCATACTGTATACACCTACAGGGGACCTGCCGGATGTCAGCTGGTGCCCAGTGTTGGGTACGGCCAGATGAGCTCACTTTCTGCCTCAGCTTATGCCCTCTGACCTGCCAGAGGCTGAGCACTTGGCGATTTTGGGGAGGCGAGGTATTCTGCCCACTCAGCCACGCAGGCCACAGTGCCAGGTGGGCACAGGTGAGACTCACGGTGGAGGTGGAGCTGCTGGTCTGGGAGGAGGGCCCTTGAGATGCCGTCTGGGGACTGCAGGTTTGCAGCTTGAGCCCAGGGGGCCTGGTCACATGCACCAACGGGAAGCTATGTCCACTGCAGGGTGCAGTTGTGGCCAGCAGAGCAGAGGCCCTGGTCTGCATCTTCCAGCTTGGGGGCCCCAGCCGTCAACCCAGTGCAGTGTGACATCAGCAGCATGGGCAGGCTGTGTGCACAGGTGTGTTTGTGCACTCGGGGCCACAAAGGGAGCAGTGGGAGCCACCCCTTCGCGCCCTTCGACATGACCTGGTGAATTCTGCAGCTGCTGCCCTTAGAGGGGTGAAGGAAGAGCTGGGGCCACAATAGCTAAGCCAGGGGGCAAGAGGCCGGCAGATGGACGGGTGCTGGGCGGGATTTGGGGTTGGGACGGGCTGGAGCTGACTCTGGACACCATGTTGCAGGCCTCTGGGGTTTGCTCCTCCAGCCTTGAGCTCCTGCCCCAAGAGCCCATCCCTGCAGTCGCTTGGGGGCCCACTTCATCTCCTGAGGGACAGGTGCTGGCTAGACCCAGAGGCAAGTCGGGGTCCCGACCCCAAAGTCCACCTCAGACTGGAGCTGGAGGGAGGGGCTGGGGTCCCAACGCCCTGGGGAACTGTCCTGGGGTCTCAGGTTTGCAGTCATGCCACAGGCCAGCCTGGGCCCTGCTTCGTGCTCCATGGACAGCCCAGCAGGGCCTGAACTCGGCTGGCCAGCATCTGCATCGTGAGGCAGCTGCTTCAGGAGCAAGCCCAGGCAGGCCCAGCCTCCATCCAGGACTCCCGGCCAAGCCCTGCTCCTCCCCACGGGAAGGGAAGGCTGGCCCTCCTGCCTGTGCTCAGGGGTGCATAGCCCCCAAGGCCGAGCCTGGGTTCCTCCTGTTCCTCCTTGTGCACGGCGCCGGGAGGCAGCCCGTAGATCTTCAGTGTCGCTTCTGCTGGCCTTCAGGGACAGTGGGAACTTAGCCGTCCTCATAGGCCCATCCAGCACTGGCCTGGGAGCAGGTCCACCTGGCTGGTTCCTCACAGTCCTTAGAGGAGGCACCCTGGGGGGTGCCAAGGGGTCTTTCTGGGTGACTGGGCCTGTGGTCATGTTGAAGGATGAGCCAGGCCAAAGATGATGGGGATGGACATTCCCAGAGCACCAGGGCCACTCGGGTGACCAGAGCTCTTTCCTCTGGAGGCTGTGACTGGCTTCTGGCCGAGGCCACTCGGCCGCCCCGGCTAGGTCTGCAGGCCCCACTCCTGATGGAGACCCGAGCCTTCCCCATGTGAGGCTCGTGGCACATCCCTCCCTGGGCCTGGCCTGGCCCACTCCTCTCTCCACCACCTCTCCATGTTGTCCACCCTCAGGAAACACCAGGTGTGCATCAGAGTCAATAGACACCCTGTGAAAGGTCAAGGGTCGATGCAGGTGACCTGGGCCACCAGAGCCTTGGTGGGATGGTCAGAGCTGTGGAAGTCCCAGCTCTAAGTGAGGCCGGTATGGCTCTGGTCCAGCATGTCCACCAGCATGGTCCAGGGTCCTGGGGATCCTCGTTCTCCCCTGTGCTGCACAGACCCCCAGGACAGCTCTTGGGGGAACCCAGAGGGACAGCAGCACAGGGGGGCTGCTGGATGGTCCCTGTCAGTGGGCAATGGACAGTGTTTCCAGCATGAAGCCAGTGATGTCTGACCGGGCCCACCTTGTCATGGCCCTTGGGATCTCTTCCACTGAGGCCCTCATGAATGACCAGCTGTGGCCATCCCTGAACAAGCTCCTTAGGAGCTGTTTTCTCTGGACAGGGCAGACCGGCTCCCCACAGGAATGTGCGGCTCTGTTGAGATGCTGCTGCCCTCCCAGTACTGCCCAGAGGCAGAGCCTCACGGGCCCTGGCCCTCAGCACAGCTGGGTAGGTGGTGGCTCTGGGCAGGGCACAGCTTGCCTTCCCAGGACCGTTGTGTCAGTGTCTTTCCAGGAGCCATGGCAGAGAGCCCACCTTCTTGGGGCCAGGTGTCCCTGTTCTCTGGTTGGCTGCATCTTTAGGGTTTAAGGGCTCCCCAGGTGACGTGAATGAGACCAGTTTGGGACCTGCTGCTGCCCAGGACTGGGAGGTTGGGTCCCCTGCGTTAAACTGGTTTATAAAATTGAACACAAGATGTTTGTCTTGCTGCTAAGGAGGATTGTCAAGTGCGTCTTGGAAGAGAAAAAGCACCCTCAAGCTGCCACCCTGCTCCAGGGAGTCCCCAGGGTCCCCAGGTGCATTTATGCTGGGATCAAGCTCTGCCATGAGCTGCCCTGGCTAGCAGCTGCCCCTGTGGCTCTCCCGGAGGACCAGCTCCCAAGGGTGGGGCCCTGGGGGGCCCTAGGCGCCTGCTCCAGCCCCGGAGCCTACTTAGTCCTGCTCTTTGGAGCACCTTCCTCCACAGTGGAAGTGGTTTTCCCCTCGTTGGGACATGAAGTGTGGCTCAGCCTGGTTGGATCATCTCTCAACGCCCGACCATCTGAGCATCGGGGTGCCCTTTGGCAGCTCTTGGTTGATGGAGGGTGGATGCCCTCCAGGCCTGAGGAGACTGACTTGGGCTTCCCATCATCTGCAGGCCAGAATATCCCCATCAGACAGTCCCTGCAAGACCCTCCTATGTGAGGACGGTGCCAGGTGCCACTCATGGCAAAGTGGCCTGGGTCATCAGGGACAGGGGAGGAAGGATTCCTGGCCACCCCCTGAGATCCTAGCCCTGGGGGAGGTCTGGCAAGGTGAGCAGAGACTGACTGGGCGCAGTGGGGTCCACAGGTCCACAGGCTACAGGTGAGCATGGGCACCCTGGTGGGTCCCCAGGAGGAGAAGGTAGGATGCACCACAGAGGGACAGGTCAGGAGGAGCGTGCCTTCTCCCCAGCAGCTGCTGTAACTGACCTGGTGCAGGGAAGTGCTGGGTGTGTGCAACCCCCCCAGCTCCCTCTGCCCTGGGGGCCCGCCTGTCTGTGAGGTCCAGTCTGAAGGCCCAGTGTCTACACCAGACAGAGCCACAGCTTGGCAGGACCAGCCAGGGTGGGGGCTGCAGAAGCCACCTGGACCCCCAAACCCCTGTGGACAGCTGCCTCTCCGTAAGGCCTAGGGGATGCCTAGAGCAGCCTGACCCTGCCTCTGGGGAATGCTGGGTCGCGCACGCTGGTAGGGCTACAGTCCTGCTGCAGTCCAAGGAACCATGCATATGAAACAGGTGTCCTGCAGGGCCATCTGCGGGGTCCCATTAAACAGCGGTCTGTCTTAAGCACACACCACCAACGCCCATGCCCACGGCTTCCTGTACTGCCCGGGGCCCTCGGTGGCCCTCTTCCTCCTCCCTCTGCCCCTCCCTCCTCCTCCCTCCATCTCCCTCCTCCTCCTCCCTCTGCTCCTCCCTCCATCTCCCCTCCCTCCCTGCTCCCTTCCTCTTCCTGCCCCACCTGGCTCTGCCCAGGCTCCTTAGGGTGGGTCTCCCCGCTGCTCACCTGATGGGTGCCGCCTCATCCCCACGGTCTAGCCAGTCCTGGGGTGGGATGATGTACATGCACCAGAGCCCCCAGTTGTAGCCGTGGGCAGCGCTGGCATACTGCTGCACCTCGAAGGTGCTGTACTTGATGTTGTCGATGGCCGGCAGGACGATGCGCCTCCGATCCTCACGGATGCGCAGGAGGGCAGGCTCGGCCCTGTGGGGGATGAGCCTGTGAGCCCTGGCCTGTCCTCACCCCACCCATCGTCTTCCTGGGGTGACTCTGAATGGCTGTCCTGTCATCAGAGCGCTGTGGGCTCAGCCCCTCAACCTGGCCCACTCTTGCCTGCTCCCTGCACCTGTGGAAGGACCTCCCTTTGCACCGAGGCCCCGCACCTGCCATGCCTGCCCTAGACCCTGGACACACTCCTGATCCACGCCTCTTGCCACTCACTGAAGGGCCCCCGAGCAATGTGCAGTGCCCCACCTGCACGACAGGCCCTGTGGAGTGGGGAGGGGATGTCAGTGTCTTAGAAGGTGAGGGGCTTGGTGGAGTAGCAGGGGAGGCAACTGGGAGCCATGGTTTTGAGTGGGTGTTCGGTGTGGGTGCTCTGGGCCACGATGGAGGAGGTGGGAGTTGAGGGAGCGCCTCAGGGGCCCTGGCACCTACCTGCTGTGGCAGGGAGCCAGCCCAGGCTGGGAGGGAGAGGGCCAGTGGCAGGTGGTGAGGGCAGAGAGGAAAGGGCGGGAGGACACAGGCTGTCCAGCTGCTCACGGCCAACAGCTCCAGGGCAGGGGCAGCCTTCCCTGGGCCTCGCCTTTTCCCCTGAAGCCTGTGTCTGAGATCCCACTGTACGGGAGCCACTGGCAGAGCAGCCTGGGGCACTCAGGCAGCAGCCCCTGCCTGCTGAGCTGGGAGCTGCCCCCCGGAGCTGGCCTGACTTGCTGCTGGTGGAGGCTGATGAGCTGCTGGCAGTTTTAGCAGTGGCTACTGGGGAGGGGGTGCTTGGCAGATGGTCACTGGAACTGGATCCCAGGTAAAGTGCCTGTTGGTGGGTGTCCTACAGGTGTGGGTGGATGCCCCTCATCATCCACACCAACATTTGAGGTCACCACCTGCCCCCCCACCACAGTGTGGGTCACTCAAGGGACCAGGGACACAATGCTGGGCTTCTCCAGGGTTCTGGGCTGGGCAAGCAAGCAGCCCCTGTCCCCACCAGTGCCCTGCCCACAGACCTGCACTCCTGCTCCTCTCAGGGGGATGGGACAGGACAGGCCCTTCCTCTCTGGTCCCAGGAGCACCAGCCTGCGGGTGGACGGAGGCCCCTAAAGCCATCCTGACTCCCACTAGCCAGCCACCTGACGTCCCCTCCAGCCCCCTCCTGCTCGCTCACAGAACCTGGGCCATTCCTGCATGAGAAGCAGCTTGGGCCCTTTGACCTGAGATCTCCTGCGAGGATGGGAACTTGCCCCCTCCTGTGCAGAGTGGCCAGGCCTCTAGGGCTCTCTGAGCACCTCTGGTGACTGTCCTGGGTCTGTGAACTACATGGCCATGCAGCAGCCTGGCCCTGGCCTGGGGTGTGCCTATTCCTTATCTGAAGTCCCCACAGGGATGCATACCATGTCCCCCAGCCCACAGAGTGACCAGCAGGCTCTTACCAGCCGGTGTTGAACTCCACGTGGGCATCGAAGAACCCGACCACAGGGGCCGTGGCCACCTTCCAGCCCTGCAGCCGCGCGCGGATCAGGCCTTCCCGCCGGCTGTTGCGGACGACCTTCACCAGGCCAGGGTACCTCCGGTGGACGTACTGATCCAGGTTGAACTTGAGCTCCACTGCAGGGGAGAGACGCCTCAGAGAACCGTTCAGAAGGGCTAGGCCACCAGCCCATGGCTTGGCCCAACTGACGACTCATGGATGTTCTCTGAAACCCCCAGGGGCTGGGGACCCCCAAGGAGCAGAACGGGTTGGTTCCAGGGAGAGCTGTGACTGAGAATCAAGGGCAGCCCAGAGGGAGGCAAGCTGGGGCGGGAAGCAGACTCAACTGTTGAGCTGTAAGAAGGACCCGAGGCCTACAGGTGAGTGGACAGCAATGGCCCAGCCACACAGGAGCACTACACAGCTGTGAAGAGGGAGGAATGGGCCCAGTGCAGCCTGGACCAGCCCCAGCACAGTGTGCCTTGATATAAGCTGACCACTGGAGGACACATCCAGCATGAGTCCACTTACAGGAGGCCCAAGAGAAGCAAGTCCTAGGGGGACAGCAGGACGGGACAGCAGGAGCTGGGGGTGGCGGGGCTGCAGTTTGGGAAGATGGAGAGCTCTCGAGGGGGGTGGCCACGGCTGCCCCAGCAGCACCCTCAAGATGGCCAGCTCTACGTGCATTCTTCCACAGTTCATGAAAAAGGCACGAAGCACTACACGATGAGCTGGACCTCCTCGTGAGAAGATTCCCGTGTCCTCGTGAGAAGAAGGGACACAGACCAGGGGAGCGGTGCAGATGAGTGTGGCCTGAACATGAGCACTGAGGGCCGGGGGTTCAGCCACTCACCCTGGACTGTGGCTCCTGCCCCCCTAGGGAGGACCCTGCTGCCCCTCTGCCCGCAGTGCCCACGGCGCCCTCACCGTTGTCACTGTTGTCATCCACCAGGATGACCTCCTTCAGCAGCTGGGAGGGCGTGTGGTTGACCACGCTGTGCACGGAGCGCAGGATGACAGACAGGGCCTCGTTGACGAAGATGAAGACCACGGAGACCTGGGGCAGGTCACCCGAGTAGGTCAGCTGTCTGCACCTGTGGGGCAGGTGGTCGGCGTGGGCAAGGCATCCTGGGCTCTTTGCACCCCACAGCCAGGGGACCAAGCATGACATCCCAGGGGCCTCCCCTGAGCTGCGGCAGCTGCTTCCTGATGATGGTGTGGGTGACACCGAGCCCTTCTGCAGCCTGGGGACAGGGAGCTGAGGCCCCTCCACGTAGCCCTGCTGGGCCTGAGCCTCAGAGCCACTCAGGTTTTGGGCCAAACGGGCAGCACTGACTGCAGAGTCACATGCCCAGCCAGGCCTGGTCCCCGGTGTGAAGAGAGGGCTGCAGGGGGTCTCAGAGTCCGCCTGACCTGGAGTCAGGAGGGACAGTGGGAGGGTACCAGGGCCAGTCTGAGGAGGTGACAACACTGACGGAGCAGTGAGCCAAATCACAGGGGTGCTGGGGACAGCAGCACCCAGCCCACAGTGGGAAGTAAAGACAGAGTGAGAGGGGAACAGAAGTAGGGCTACCAGGTGACACAAGATGGAGGGAGTGTCAGGGGCGCTGGCCGCACAGCAGAGCCAGTGACCCAGACTCGGAAAAGTGAAGAGGCTGTTGAGAAAGTTCAGCAGGTGCGTGCACACACACATGCATGTCATGTACATGCACACGCAGCACACATACACACATGCTTGCACATGCACATGCTCACAAGCATATCACACACATACATGTACACACACACGAGCACACCACACACACATATGTGTACATGCACACCCTCACACAATGCACACACTCCACATGTGAACACACTTACACCTGTTGCACACAGTGTGGATAAAGTGGCTTTGGATTTGAGAACTTAACATACAGGAAGAATGACCAGGGGAACGCCTCCTCCAGGACCTGGAGGCAGCACAGCGTGGGGACAGAGATGGGGACAGGGGCAGGGTGTGTGTGTGTGCACCTGGCCCTGCAGCAGCTGGGAAACACTGTTGAGAGAATGGGGACTCAGTGACAGGAAGGACAGTACAGCCTCCTGGTGGAAAGCAAAGCCTGGGACACAGGAGCCCGGGCACGGGAGGTCTCCCAAGGCTGCGGCTGCTCTGACGCCCACAGAGCACTAGGGACTCGATCGTGTGCGCAGCACCAAGGCTTAGCAGCCCTCTCCAAGGCACACAGGGCCTCTGCGTCCGCCTCCTCACAGGACACTGGCCACGCTGGGCCTGGCCCCACCCTAAGTGATCCACCCACAGCAGCCTTAGCCTAAGGAGAGCTCATCCCGTCCTGGTAGCTGGGACATGGCTCAGTGCAGAAAGCAGGAGCACTTGCTCCACATGTGGGGAGGGACGGCCAGGGGTCGCCCAGCCTGGCCAGCAGCACAGGGGCCACACCTGCTCTGCATGGACCAGGCTTCCAATCCTCCCGGCCACCAGAGAGGCCCACCTGCTCTAAGGACGAGGATGCTCCCCAGCCCCACCTAGCAGCCTCTCCTCCAAGTGCAAACCCTGCACATCACCAGGCAGAGATATGGGTCGTGGACCCCCACCAGGGAGGTCTCATCACTCAGAAAACCACTTTCTGATGAGAAGACTCCACCCCACTTTTCAATGAGGAGGAAGTTTGCTCGGTTCTCATGCACTCACAGCACAGGTAGAACGGGAGACACCTCGAGGTGACACCTTAGGGCTGATGGCAGGAGCTGCTGCCTGCAGGAAAGGACCCTGCGAGCCCAGAGCCAACCCAGGGGGCAGCCGTGCACCCAGGGGCCACTGTGACAGGGGACACTGGGTGATGGGGGGGCACCTGATGACTGGGGGACCTGGTGAGGGGGCAGTGTATGATGGGGGCATCATGTGACAAGGGTTGGTCCCATGTGACAGGGCACCTGGTGATGAGGGTGCCTGTGAGGGGGGGTGCCTGGTGACAAGGGGGGCCTCTATGTGGCCACACATCTGTGTGCCTCGCCTGGTGTCTCATCTTGGCTTCCTGACCCAAGCCATTGCCTCCTGCCTGGGTCCCTCATCTGTGTGACAGGCAGGATCTCTTCCCAGATCAGATGTGTGCAAGGATGATGGCCACCCAGCAGGCCCAGCACTCCCTGCCCCATGAGGCCTCTCCATCATGAGCAGTCCTGGGTCTTGGCTGAGGGTAGACACAGCTGATTGACTCTCACTCCCTGCCCTCCTGGGCGTGGCCCTGGGCATGAAGAACTGCCAGCCAGTGAGGATGAGCCATGGAGAGTGTGATGTGGTGCCCTGGAGCCCTCTGACCTCACAGGCTATGGGGCAGGGGATCCTGCTTCTCGCCTGCAGGGCACCCACCAGCCACCTTGCCACTGAGAGGCTCGCTCTGCCCAGGAAATTCCCAGAACATGGAGCACCTCTTCTTCAAGGTCTGAGCGGCCCTCATCCCAAAACAGGCTGCCTTCCCTGCAGGAAGCCATCTTGCTGCAAGACTTCTCCCGGTTTACTCAGACAGAGGCCTCTGTGCTCCTGGCCACTGGGGAAGAGCAGGGCGACGGAACCTTCCAGATGAACTCTCCCAGCCTTCCCAGGAGGGCATGGGTATAGATGCCCACAGACTGGCAAAGGCAGGTCTGCTGGCTTGGGCACAGGGGTTTGCTGCTTGTCCATGGAAGTCTGGACTGTGTTTAGTCTCAGCCTGGCATGGCCCGCAGCCCAAAGGCTACCTGCAGGATGTAGCCACACATGGGGCACATTTTCAAGGTGCCCAGTCCTCCTGGCCACCTATTGGAGCAGTCTGCCATCATGATGAAGACCAGAAAGGGAGAGGCGTCTTCAGCAGCTTCCTTCTCTGAGTTGGTCACGAGGAGCCGTTCCCAGCCCTCGAAGTCACCCTCCTCCAAAACCTGCCCTTGCTAGGCTGATAGCCGAGCCTTGAGCCCCTCACAGCGGAAGAACAATATGCGCCGAGACTACGTTGGCCACCAGAGTGTCCCCGCTGGGCCGCGCACAGTCCTAGGACAGCTCCTTCCTTTCTGGCTCAGCTTAATTGGGATTCACGCTTCCTCTCAGATCCCGCAGGCCATCTGATAGCTGAGGTCATGTTATGTGCTTTGTGGCCTAATTAGAGCCGCGGTTTAATTAGAAAATCTCTCTTGCTGCAGACAAAGGGAAATCAAGTGGCGTCCACTAGGAAAGGGGCGGCTGCCACTGAGCAGGTGGCGCTGTGGTGGGGACCATGTGTGTGCGCAGGCACATGCGCCCTAGCCCTGGCCTGTGCTCCGTGGGCAGTTCTGACCAGCCACAGAGGGACCAAGGTCCTGAAATGAGATCTGAAGCTTCTGCAGGCAGGACTCAGCTTGCGCTGCTCCCCATGTCCCCTGCCGGGGCTTCTGCTGGGCCTGCTGAGCACCAGGCGTAGCTACCGAGGCTACAGGTCAGAGCTGCTCCCACTCACCCCACCTGGAGGTCCACGGCTTTCCTCCTGGGCCCAGCCTGGAGCTGGTGGCTCCACACCTGCCTCTGTGTATCCTTTCACGGTTTCTGGGGTCAGGACTTTGGGGTTGAGTCGGGGGATGCCTGTGGTTGTCAGGAGCAGCTAGCACAGGGCCACAGGGCTGGGCAGCTGGGATGGCCCACGACTCCCTGTCTGTCCCGGGGCCAGTTCACATGTGCTCTCCTGTGCACTGGCCCCACTTCCTCACTGGGCAGTGGCTTTAGAGCCCTTGGATGGCTCCCACGGCCGTTCTCTGGGGCCGAGCAGGGCAGAAGGAGCATGGCCTCTTCAGCTGACCCTGGGGGTCCTAGGCAACTCCCTGCCCCTTCCCTTCCCAGCTTTTCATCTGACCCCATGTCCATCCCGTCAGGGCTCCAGGGTGAGCACTTGAGGTCAGCAGAGACGCACAGCAGTCCGGGGCATGGCTCCAGGGGCACACTTTCTAACCTTCTGGCCCAAATTCATAGGCAGCGTCTAACTCTCTGGGTGTGTGGCAGGAGGTGGGGCTCAGGGGGAGAGCACTTGCCTGGGACGAATGAGGCCCTGGGTTCGAGCCTCAGCACCACATAAAAATAAAAAAATAAAGGTATTATGTCTAACTAAAACTAAAAACCAAACAAACTACTTAAAACAAGGCCCCCAATAAAAGAACCAGGCACCAAAGATACCAGTTATTTGGGACTTAAAAATAGCCTGGCATACAGCACACAGTGGCCATGCCTATGAGCCCTGGCAGGGCACCGGGCTCCACCCACCCGCCAGCTGTGGGTTGCCACCCATGCACCTGATGGATCAGCGGTGGGAGGAAGGCTGTCACCTGGTACACTAGGCCTGCAGAGCAGCAGCCTGACTTTTCCAGGAACTGGTTTCTACTGAAGGTCTGCTGGCCTCTGCCCCCAGCTCCTATTCCCAGGGGAGCATGTGACCAATAGTTGAGCTTCGGTCCAGGCTGCTGGCTGTGATTGGGCACATGACTGGATGGGCACATGACCCAACATGGGCCAATGAGACTCTGGCCTGAGACTTCTGCTGGGTTGTTCCTCCCTCCTGCCCAGCCTGAGCTGGAGGCCAAAAGGTCCCACTGCGCTAGAGCTTGCCTGGGCTGGGCCAGCTCTTCTGTGGGTGGCAGCCGGGGCTCCTACTCTTCCCATCCTGCTGGGAACCTTACAGGCTGGCTGCCTGGGCTGCTTCTTGCAGGATCCCTTCCTATCTGGCTTCTGCTGGGTGGGGTCCACAGGAGAAGAAACTCAAGGTGAGGGGTGTCAGGGACTTCTCGCCCCTCCCTACCTTCCCATGTCTTGAAAGTGATGTCTTCTCTCCAAAATCAGGTCCCCACAGAGCTCCCAGCTTTCATTGGGCCCAAGTAATGCTATTTCTGTGCCTGTCCCTTAATGCCTTGGACAGACCAGCTTCTCCAAATTGTTGATCCCTGGCTGGTTCATGTCCCTTATAGTTTTCCCATCAGAAACATGTGCACATTCACATGTACACACACGTGTACACACACGTGCACACACATGCACACACAGACACATGTACACACAGGCCAGCTGACGCATGGCGGGTCCTGGGCCACCTCTGTGAATGCTGCCATATTGGGCACCTCTGTATTCCTTCTTATTGAGCTTTTAAAAACTGTCCTGTTTTAAACTCAAGTACAGTTTTTACTCAAAAGAAATTTGCATCTCATCCCTTCACAGAGGCCAGCCTTGGCTCTGCTGACCAGGGGTGACCATGAGGTCAACACACTGACACCCAATCACACCATCATCCTCAAATGACTGCAGTAGCTACACCTCCATCTGGGCTCCACTCTCCCTGTCTGAGGGACTCCAGGGTGTGCACGGACCGTTCCCAGGTGGACCAGGACCAGGCGCCTTCTTGGGCCTCATCCTCCACCCTGAGTGGCCTGCCCCCTCCTCACAAGCCCTGCATGAGAATCCTGGTCTCCAGGTCCAGGTGGAGGGAGTTCCTCAAAAAGGCAGGAAACGGACCCCTCCTCCTCATCTGCCTGTCTTTTGGCATTGCTCCAGGGGACAGGAAGGTCACCAAGCCTCCACCTGCCACTGAGTCCTGGTACCCAGGGCAGAGGGTTCCATCCTGCTAGGCTCTGCAGATGGGAGGAACGGCCCACCTGCCAGTAGCCTCCAGGCCTGGCTGGCTTCCCCTTCCCAGGCACCCCAGCTTGGCCCCTTCAGGCAGCCTGTGTGGCTTTGCCACAGCTGTAAGGATTGAGGGCTGGTAGGACTCTGTCCTCAGGGATTTTCTGAGGCTGCTGTGGCTTCAGGGTGGTGGGACAAGGGGTCATCTCCCACTGAGGGCAGGCAGTGTCTCAGACAGGACACATGGGCTCACACCAGTGTGGCAGTGGCTGTGGCGAAACCCCCAGAAGCCAGCGGGAGGAGCAGCCCAGGTGGGGCCAGGTAGGGGCCACAGACTGGCCACAGGACCTCAGCCGGCATGGCCACCTCTCCACCCCGGCTTCCATTCTGAGGGAGGGGTGTGGCCTGTGGCCGTGCAGGAAGAGGGTGGCCATGGCCAGAGAACCCCAGAGACAGAGGGAGACAGAGATCATGAGAAAAGAGACAGAGAAGAACTGGAGGGAGAGATAGAGTGACAAGAAGGAGGAGGAGGCGAGGGTGGGGTGGCAGCAGGTGGCCCTGCAGGCCCCTCCTCCACGGTGGCTCCTCGGCAGGGCAGCACATGGCCAGCTGGCTGGCCCTTGGCACTCACTTTTTGGGCCTGTAGTCGGGGATAGTCCTGTCCAGGGAGATGCGATCGCTGAGCTGGGCATTGTAGCCATACTCCTCGTACTTGCCTTCCCTCTCCTGGCTGTCCTCCTGCAGAGTGGCCGCCACGCCTCCCTGACCCAGGCCACCTGGCCCCTCTACCAGGCCGATGGGTTTTGCAAGACCTGGAGGGGCACAGGGGAGGGTGGGTCAGGCAGAGTCCAAGGTACCCCACAGACACCCACCTCCCCTCAGTCCCTCTCCATTCCCAATTCCAATGCCACCCCTTAGAAAAGACTGGACTGTGGTTAGGAAGAACAGGCCCACAGGAGCTAGGTGGGACAAGCAGGGGGCACCAGGTGTCAAGGGCAGTACCTCTGTGACACTGCAGGTGGCTGCAGGTCACCACCCACTGTGCTGAGCCTGCTGTAGTCAATCATCCTGCTCAGGTTGTTAAGCATGTATCAATATTGGCTTATCACATTAACATCAGAATCAATAATGGCATGGGGCACAGAGTCTGTGGACCTCTCAGAGTTACGTCAGACCAGCAACCAAGTGTCAGTACCTCAGACCAATAACCAGTACTTCAGAGCAACAATCATGCATCAGTACTTCACACGAGATGGGGCGTGTTCAGGGTGGTATGGCTGTAGACTTGCATCAGTACTTCAGAGCAGCAACTATGTGTCAATAAGCTCAGACTATCAAGAGTATCAGTATGCTCAGATTAGCAACCATGTATCAATATGCTCACACTGGAACCATGCATTAATATGCTCAGACTAGAAACTATGTATCAATATGCTCAGACTAGCAACTATGTATTAATGATTTGCCCATCAGTCATGTATCAATATGATCAGACTAGCAACTATGTATTAATATGATCTGCCCAGCAATCATGTATCAATATGCTCAGTCTAGCAATCATGTGTCAATACCTCAGACCAGGTATCAATATGCTCACACTGGAACCATTCATCAATATGCTCAGACCAGCAATCATGTATCAATATGCTCAGACCAGCAACCATGTATCAATAAGCTCAGACCAGCAACAATGTATCAGTTCACTCAGACTAGCAACCATGTGTCAATACCTCAGACCAGCAACCATGAATCAATATGCTCAGACCAGCAACCATGTATCAATACCTTAGACTAGCAACCATATATCAATGCTCAGGTCAGCAATGCTCAGTGTGGATATCAGATATTGGCTCAGGTTGTTAAGCATGTATCAATATTGGCTTATCACATTAACATCAGAATCAATAATGGCATGGGGCACAGAGTCTGTGGACCTCTCTGTACTCTGAGCTTATTTGGTCTATAAACCTGCAACTGTCTGAAAAGCAAAGACTAGTGTATTGATGTTAAAAAAAAAAAAGAATTAACAATTACAAAGAACTGAAGGTAATTGAACTTTCAAAAGCAAAGCAACTGTTCTCCCAGCCCTGGACAGCATCAGTCCTACCATGCAAACTATTGCAAACCCACGTCTGTCAAGGGAGGCTACTGCTAAGGACGACAGAGACGTGTCATCGGGGAGAGAAGTCAGAAGCAGTGGACACTGACCGTCAAAAATCAGGAGCACAGGAGCTGCTCTGCAGGTCCCTCAGGGACCAGGCTGACTGGGAATGATCAGGAACTCCCTGGTGACAGACTGGACATCATGGGTGAGAGGGGGCAGGGTGCCTGGGGACACCAGGTTGAAGAAAGATCTAGCCAGTCATTGGAGCCAGGAAGGGAGGGTCTCAGCTCAGAGCATGGCTCCTAAAGGGACCAGGGCAGTGTCCATAGGCAAGGGCAGCCCTTGCTCTTCCTTTTGGGAGAACTGGACAGCTACTTGGAGTGGGTGGCAGGGGGTGGAATGTAAGCCAGAAAAAAAGGCAGAGGGACCTGTCCCTGAGCTGCCACCTGTCAGCTCCTGGAGAGGCCTCTGGTCTTCATCAGGCTGTGGACATGCAAATGCCCACCCTTCATCCTCTAGACCAGGCAGAATATACGGTCCAGCCCTGGGGAGGGACTGAAGGCACAGGAGCCTGGACCCTGCTTGTCCAGGGGGCTTCTCTGCTTAGACAGCTAGGGTGTCCCATCTTGTGCATCTCCATGTTTCCAGGACATTCCACTTCAAACGGGGTAGCTGTGTGGAGGCTTACGTAGGGGGGACGCACACCGGGTGGGGACTGAAAGCTCAGGGTGCAGAGCGACTCCGTCTCTTATGTTCACTTAGCATTGCTACATGATGGCCGCGCTGTTAGAAAGTCTGCTCTCCACCTTGAGAAGTCTGCAAATGGGGCTCCCAGGGCACGGGTGTCACCACAGAGCCAGTTCTCCCTGCCTGGCCAGAGGGGCCCGTCAAGCCCGGGGCTTTCTTTCCATTAAATGTGAAACATGCTGTGTTGAGATCCAGACATCCTGGAGGAACCCGTGGGGTGCCCCTCTGCCAGCCTCACAGCCCGAGGACTTGGTTCCCCAGCTCTGGTGCTGCCCTCTTGCTCTGGGCACTGCGCACAGGAAGCTCTGGGCCCAGCTCTCGCTACCAGACAATTCCCTGGGCTCCTGGACATGAGAAATGAGCCCCGTCCACTGTCACCTCTGCCTGCGCTGCCACGTCCCAGCTTCCCTTAGCTGCTGTTATTTTTAGTTATGTGATGGTTGCCTTTGACTGTAGGAGGAATGCGGAGGCTCTGCTCTGGAGGCACAAACCTCTGCCCATTTCCCTGCCAGTGTGGACATCCCCACCCGCCTGGCCTGCTGGCCACCAGTGCCTTATCCTCCAAGGTCATGGGTACGGCTGCAAATGCCCCGTAACCACACCCAAGCTCCACAGGACTTGTCCACAGGTGGATGCTCAGATGAGAGGAGCCCAGCCTGGAGGGACCCTGAGGGGGATTGCAGCTCTGAACTGGTGAAGGGTGTCCAAGGTCAAAGCAGCAGTGACCACTCTTCAGATGCTCCACCATTCCCCAGAACCATGCCCTGTTTGGTCAGGTGGCTCCAGACCTGCCGGCTCACTCCTAACCTGGGCATGGGACAGTGGTGGCGGTGACTTCTGTACAGAGTGCACCCTCTGCACAGCCCCCTCCTTCACTCTCCACAGCACCCGACGGCAGGTAGGGAAACCCTGGCACAAAGAGGTCAAGCAACACACTCAACGTCACACAGTCTGTGAGTGGCAGACCTGGCTCACACCCTGCTGGGCGGCCATCCAACCAAGGCTGCTGGGAGACCAGGCAGGAGGGAGCCAGAGTTCGGGGGCTGTGCTCATGGTGGAGGCCTCTGTTGAGTCAGACCTGCCTCAGCAAGTCCAGCAAGGACAGAATCACTGTCCCAGCTGCAAATCACTGTGCTTAGTCCCTTGAAAGATCCCTTGAAACTTCCTGCTGGTTTTCACTTCCAACGCCACCTGACTGCCCCTGGGTCCTGCGCACCACTCATTCCACCCTCTCCCTCCCTCCTCAGGTCCCGCCCTATCAGTCCCAGTACCCCAGACCCGGCCTGGGCCATCTCACCCTCACCATACACTACCACTCACACTGTGCTGGGATCCGATGACAGAGCCAGCAAGGACCATCCCTCCTAGTGGGCAGCCCATTGTGGCCTCTCCCCAGACCCAGCTGGCTTGCAGGTGGGTATCTTCCCAAGGCTGGTGGGGACGTGGACTCTCACAGCACCATAGCTGAGCTGTTCTCTGCACTGGCCACCCTGGCGAATCCGACAGCCACTCAGCCCATGCCCAAGGCCCCTGTATCCCTAGGGTCACCTTCTAGAAGGAAGCTCTTGCTGCCCCACTGGACAGATGAGAAACTGAGGTCCCCGCCCAGTGCCACAGCAGATGGCCAGTGCAACTGCCCTCTACAGCAGGCATCTCAGAGGTCACCAGAGCCCATCCTGAAGGCCGAGGCGGTAATTTAACAGCTGCTCCTGTGGTCACTGCCGGGTTGGGCAGGCAGGGCCCAGTATGAGAGGAGATGCCCCATGGAGGACAGTGTTGGAGGACCACTCTGGCTGTCAGATGCCTCATCCTGCCATAGATGGGAGGCATCCTGAGCATGCACTGTGTGGTTCGTGGGATGGACCTTTCTGGCACTGGCCACATGACTCATGTACCAGCTGGACACATCTCCAGGCAGGGAAAGGGGCTCCTGGCCTGGGCAGCCACCACAGCCCTGTCCTCCCAGTCAGGTGGGAGGCAAGGACAGTCGAAATGCCAAAGCCAGTCAGTGCCAGGACCCACTGGCCAGCACTGGGATCCATAGGTCAGCACTGGGACCAACTGGTCAGCACCAAGACCCTTGGCCAGCACCTACTTCTCATTGCTGGGACATACTGATCAGTGCTAGGACATACTGGTCAGCACTGGAGCCCACTTGTCAGCACTGGGGCCTACTGGTCAGCACCAGGACCTACTGGCCAGCACCTACTGGTCATTGCTGGGACACACTGGTCAGCACTGGGGCCCACTGGTCATTGCTGGGACTTACTGGTCAACACTGGGACTCACTGGTCAGCACTGGGGCCCACTGATCAGCACCAGGACCCCCTGGGAGCCTTATTGGTGTGTCCAGACAGAGTCCGAGCCCTGGTGGGAGCGCAGCCCTGCTCCTCCCTGGAGACCCTCGTGTCTCTCAGAGGAGCTGTCACCCACTGGCACCCAGGAGCCCCCTGCAGCCCTGGCGACCCCTTCCCTGGGTGTGAATGGCAGATGCCCATGTTTGCTGGCCCTGTTCACTGCGGGGCCTCAGAGGGAGCCAGGGCATCGTGCTCTGTGTGGGGCTCAGCATAGAGAAGCCAGTTTTCCCTTTTGCTGGCTCCTTGATCTGTTCCAGAATATCCCCGTGTTGCCTCGTCCAAGGCTCAAGTGCGTTCCACGTGATGACCTCTGACCCCTCGCGTGGCACCCATGCTCCTGTCCCTGTCCACTGATGGGGCCCTGCTCAGGCCACATGCCCCAGTCAGAGCCGCTGGGTGGGAGCTTCTGGGGACCTGGAGCCGACTTTTCAGGAGCCTGGGGGCTTCTTTTTGTGCCAGCAACATATGCTATGGCTGTCACACAAGGTCTAGTTCTGAAGGAAAGTCACAAATGCCTGCAAAGTTGTGTTGACATACACAATCACCTGGGGTCTGGCTGTGAAGGACAGCCAGGACAGCGTCACACGGGGCCTCTGTGTGAGGA